GGAATCCAGAAAGAGCTGCTTGTAGTGGTGCAGAGTTTGAATCAAAATCATGACAAGCATGAATATGAACCAATGTTGATGCTGATCCCATTGACGTTGTGCCTCGAGGTCCATCATGCACAGTAGGCATTGGGTAGTAGGTAATTTTTGATTAAAATATGTATATATACATTATATATTATCATATATGCAGAATGGTCCTGCCACATGTTAGTGGTCACATGATGTTCAAACTTGAATTTTGAATTGGAATTCCAACCTGAATTCGCTGTCCAGATGGAGCCTAAGAGTACTACTAAGCAGCAAGAGAAGTCCCTCAAAACCAAGGAGTTGCTTTTCCCACTCAACAAGGACAACTATATTGAATTCCTAGAAAACATTCTCAAGAAGCATGGTCAGACTCAGTACAAGGTCTCTAGCAAGCAGCAGTTCTCATTCAAGTTTACTTTGCCAAAAACCAAGAGGTATTGTTCCTATTGTTGCACCACACTGGCAGGTTGCCTGGTTCACAATCCATTTTAGCCAGCACACTGTGGGTGAGGCAATGGATGTTGACAATGAGTTGACAAAATCTGCCAGAAAAGTGGACTAGACAGGGATTGAACCTGTGGCCTCTGGCATAGTACAGCAGCGCTCTTCCAACTGAGCTACCAGTCCGTTGAACTAGATCCTAGCTCAAGCATCAACAGGCATTCAATGGTAAACACTGTGCTTGCTACCATTTGACATGAGCCACTAGAAAGAGATGGTGCAAAAGATTCATGATGCTGCCAATGACCTTGGTGCAGCAACAAAATTTTGGTTGACATGAAGCACATTGAGAAACTCCCATTGCATCAAGGAAATAACCACTCTGGAGATGACGAATCAAGCATGTCAGATGATAACCAGGTATTTTTCTTTTTACCATGGCTTGAATAATTCATAATACATTTTCTAACAAGTCCTTGTCATCTCAATCAACTTTGGATCTAGAAGTGTGCCTTGCTCAATGGTGCATAAAGCTTGCAAAGATATACAAGGACAGTGATGATGGCCACCTTACATATATTGCACCATCGGGTACTACTATCCCACTTACTCCAGTGATGGTGCTTGACTGGGCCCATGCTTTGGTATGCACTCTGTAGATTTATGATAAAAATATCTGATTAGTCTGTAGGAGGAAGGCCAGGCATTGTTGAACATGCCACCTAACATTCCATCGTTTGATGTTGCCAACAAAGCACTGTTTCTACACAAGGCACACAAGGCACAGGCTCAGAAAGCTGCTTCACAATCCCCACCATTGGACATCAACTCACTCATGTTGGTCATCCCCCCTCAGACCCTAGCCAATCTTTCATCTGCTGGAACTCATAGCCCAACCACAACTACAATTACAACAGTTCCAGCTCCAATGACACCTGTTTGTTGTGTCCCAGAAAGATCTACCTCCCCTCTGGTTCCATCCCCTTCCCAGCTCATGTGGTTTCTAAAATATGCTGAGATGGAGCTCCATGTTGAGAATGCCACTATGTTTGAGCAGAGACTCGCAGGACAGCATATCAGCCCTGATATCCTTCCCAAAATTGAAGACAAGATACTTGCTGTGAAGATTGGGATTCCAGCTGGTGATATAATCTGTCTGAAAAAGGGATCTATCAAATGGTGGAATGGACCCAATGCAAAGCCTAAGTGTAGCAACACCCATCAGAGCCAATTGAGGTCAAGGTCAGCTACTCATCCACCCCAGAAAAGGGTTGTTTGGCAGCAGCTGCTGCTTCACTGGACCTCCAATGATTGCCGGGGATGGCAATGATGATGGACCAAAAGACTATGATCTTTGGTACCAGTCAACAGATCACAGCACTTGGCTCCCTGTTCCAAAAGGATATATTATTTGCGAGGATGGTGACAACAATGGTTTAGATATTCTCTTCAAATAATATGTCAATCTGTGCATTGTTTACTAGATCAAAATAGATTGCTGTCATTTTTCATTGTGGACTTGTTACAACAACAACTATCATACATTCATTGCAGCAGAAATCTACAAGGCTTTACAATCACAGTACCATTACACAATGTAACCTGATGCCCAAAAATATCCTTCTGCCTTGTCCAGAGTAATGTTCTGACAAGCATGCACAATTGTGGTCATCAAGAAGTCATCAGGGTAGCACCAAAAGTATGCCTTGATCACTGAGAAAGCTTGTTCAATTGGATTATAATCAGGAGAGTAGGGGGGGAGGAAAATAAGCTTGCAAACTAGCAAAAGTTAGTATGTGAAGAACAATGTGTTGATGTATGTATGGTGCATGTCTTCAATAAGTGCATGAGCCTCCTTTTTCTTGTGGATGCAACAGTTGCCAATGATGATAACACTACAGGAACCAGGATATGGGTTGGCGAGAGGCATCTGTACCAAAGATAAGTCAATACAGCACATATAAACCACAAAGACATACCACATGTTCCTCCAAAAATCTCATGAAGTGCTGACTGTTGACTGGTCCTTCAATGATGTTGTATGCAATGATACCATCAAGAGTGATGGCAGGAAGAATGGAGAATCATGTTCCTCAAATGAAGCATCTGCTGACACAACAGTGAAGACCTTTCCTTGAACACTCATGTTGGTGAGTAGATGTCCGCTTATCCTTGGCAGCTTTGTCAATGAAAAGGAGCATGTTTGGATCTGGCACATTGGCTGATAAAATACAGTGAACTCCAGAACTGGAACACCAACTCCACATTTCCAGAATATCAGAGTTCATACCTCTGCTCCACTACCAGGCAGATCTGCTTGGAGTTTCAGCCCCACTCAGGATCCATGTGGAATTTCTGCAGACTCTTATTGCACCTCATCATTCTTTACTCGTCATCACTCCTGAGCTTCCAGGGATGCTCCATCACTTCCTTACATTGATTAATTCCATTTCCCCCTTGTTCCTGTTCCTATTCCCTTCATTATCATTAGTGAGTGCTTCTCCACCCACTCTGCTACATATATATACTTAGTTTTGACTTTGGATTCTCCAGTCATTCTTCGCCCCTCCTTGGCAGTGGCTGAGGTGGGTTTACTTTATAGCTATTTACTACTCCTAGCTAATCCCTAGTAGTCTGGGCAATCACTGCCCTATTATAGTTCTTGTCATTGGCAGCAATGTGATTCATGTAGATTGCATCTGTCTCTTCATTTTGCTCTGCAGCTGAACATGAAACAACCTTGTGGGTGATGGAAAGATGTTGGAGCATTCAAAGAAGATTCAAAAGTGTGGCAAGTTTATGATGCTTGGCCCAAAGTTTGTGCTGAAGCTCATCAAGGTAGATGGTGTTGCAATTGTGAATCATAGTGGAGATAAAAGCAATGTCAGCTGAGGTGAGGAGTTGACAGCACCCAGTCATGCAAGAGTATTTGCTCAGGTTGGTGATGGTGTCATGTTTTGAGTACAAAGAGAGTGTCCTGTAAACTAGTGATTTCTTGATGCCCAATATATGGCAGGTATCATCAACACTATGGTTGTCGTTGTACAAGAGCAGGATTTGGGCTTTGATGTTGGGAGGTACAGCATGGTAGGACTTGTAGCACTGTGGTGCCATAGGCGCCACAGTGCCTTATCTGTGTGCACAAGAAGTCATGCCGGGCTGTCCACCTGCTTAGTCATCCGTTGTGACGCCCTTCTCCGAAGATAGGGGCCAGGCCATGTGGTGGACCACATGTACAGTATGACAAGGGGCAGGAAAAGAAAGCGGAGGCACCGGTTCCAAACTCGTGACAGTTCTCATCAGGAGGCTTACAGCCACTGCCCCTACCACTAGTCCATCCGGCTGATGCTTAGGGTACCAACTACCAATCTAATGCCCTACCTAGGGATTTGACTCAAGTCATGGCCACGACTGTTAAGAGTGACTACTGACAAAAACTATAATAGGGCAGTGATTGCCCAGACTACTAGGGATTAGCTAGGAGTAATAGATAGGTATCAAGTAAACTCACCTCAGCTGCTGCCAAAGAGGGGCAAAGAACAACTGAGGAATCCCAAGTGAAAACTAAGTATATATATGTAGCGGAGTGGGTGGAGAAGCACTTGCTAATGATAAATCAGGGGAATAGGAACAGGAATAAGGGGGAGATGGAATTAAGCAATGTAGGAAAGTGATTGAGCATTCCTGGAGGCTCGGGAGTGATGACAAGTAAGGAATGATGAAGTGCAATAAGAGTCCATGCAAGTTCCACATGGGTTCCAAGTGGCTGCTGGAACTCCAAGCAGATTTACCAGTGGAGCGGAGGTACGAACTCCGACGTTCCAGAAGAGTGGAGTTGGTGTTCCAGTTCTGGAGTTCACTGTATTTTGTCAACTACCCCAGGCTGGATTGGTTGCAAATTGGGTAGAACGAGTGGGGGGAGGGAGGCTCCACCTTGTTAGACCCACAGGTCGCTCGGGCACACAGGGGCCTTCGGCACACCCGTCTGCACTTTTTCATTGCCATACATTCTCACAGTGGGAGTCAGTCACCGCGAGAACCTCTTATTCCATCGTCATGTGATTCGCAGTAGCGACACAGACCTGGCATGGATGGTGGTGATGTGGTGCAAAACGAACTGACATGCTTTCTCAGCTGCGCAGGCCACCCACTCAGCTGCGCCCGGGGTCCTTTCCGGCTGTCTCCGAGGCGCGACTTTTCATAATTTGGTTTCCAGAGATTTGCAAACCGCTGTAATGTTGAATCATAATCATGTCTGATAAACTGGACACTTGGTATTCGAAACATCAATCAAAATGTATTTCAGCTGTGGTTCGGATGCTATCTTTTGCTTGGTTGGAAGGTCAACTATTGCAACACAGTTTATTTTGTGAATGCTCGGAACCAATCTCTTCCAGCCTCGAAGGAGACACACGCAGCCTCAACACCATCAATCGGATGTGTCTCCTTCGGGAACATCAACATTTCGACGACACATTCCCTGCCTTTAAGCGCATGGTAATAACCCTTGCTCTGTGTGGGCGGTACCCGCAAGTCGTCCTCGCCCACCAGAAGTAAGACAGGCGTTTCGACAAGTTCGATGTATGCGATTGGCGAGGCAGCATAGAGCTTCGTAAAGCTGTCTGGTGTCACATGCGTGCCAGGTCCGAAGGGGAGGCCGAACTCTTCAAAGGGCCAGTCGGTGATGTCAGAGCCACAGAGCTCACCGGCGGAGATGACGGGGTTCCGCATGACTGCCGCGCTGAACACATTGGGGTATTGGCCGATGACTGTGCCACGAATAATGAGGGGGAAGATTGCTTGGTATAAACGGGAGAGAACAATGAGAAGGTAGACACTCACGATGAGCGGCAAGGAAACCACCATGGCTTCCCCCTTGGACAACTTGTTTTCCTTGCTCGGAGATTCCGAGCGCAATAAGCCTCTCTACGCTCGCAATGCAGTCACCAACGTCAAGCTCCCCACATTTTCCGAGCAGTACTTGGATGTACTTCTCGCCGAAGCCCATCGAACCAGTGTAATTGGGTAAAGATACCGTAACTGAAAATGCAGGTCATAAAACATCGTAATGGATCTCAGATAGAACCAGAACCCAACTCACAGCCCTCAAGAGCGTATGCGACCACAGCTGGCGTGAACGCAGTTACGCTAGAAGCATGCGGCCCACCGTGTGGTATCGTCACGCA